TTGTATATCCTGGCTGGCAGCACCTGAAATAGCCAAGAAATGGGCATGGAGAAGATACAATAGAGCAGACTTTGGAATCAGACAATTGTGATTGGCCCATTTGCAATAACAAAGACTGCTAAATGGTTTCTGCCAGATTTCAGCAACTGGAAGGGGGATTTTGAGGTTCTCATAAAGTTGCTCTTATGGGGGAGGGGAGAATCTATAGAAGATCAGAAAAGTTAAGTTAGCATCCATAGCCATTTGATCAAGCCTTGCCTTTTTAAAAAGTGTCAATTGTATAACATCTATGAAAAAGGGTGTGGGCTTTAGTTGCATAGTTGAAGCCACCAATTCACCATTCCTGTAGATATCCCTTTGTTCAGATGCAAATGGATCTTCGCCTGGCTATCCTTCTTCTAGGACAGGGATGTCAAACTCAATTTCATTGAGGGCCACATCAGGGTTGTGTTTGACTTCGGGGGGGGGGCGAGGGGAGCATGGCCAGAGTGGTGCATGCCCAGCTCAACATCATTCATGTCAGGGGCACCTGTGGTGGCCCAAGCTCTCTGCCAAGCTCTTTCCCAAGCTCTGTTTTCAGATTACAACAACCTCTTTCACTGTAGGCATTAAATTGTTTCTCCAACATAATAATCTTGATGTTGTAATGATGGTAGTTAAAAACAGGAAGAGCTTTAAAAGAGAAATAGTTATTGTGATAGATTTTCTTCTAGTTTAAATGCTAATAGCATTAATGGGATGAAAGGTTTTCTTAGATTGTATTAATTAATTTAATTAAAAATAGGCTCAGCTCTCAGGCTATTTATTCTGCTGAGTGATTCTGCATTTGTGAACTAAAGTATTTGACTTTAGTATTTGACTTGATGATGTGGTTGACTAGCTCAAAATCCAGGGGATATCATATGTCTCTAAAGAAAGGATGTTGTCTTACTGCATAATCTAAATAGAATGCATTAATTTCTATTATATAGCATATTGATTAATGCACCTTTAGAAATATCCATATTTTGGCCATTCATAGTATTAAAAGAATGTAATTCAATTGTCAACATGTGGGAGATGTTGTACCGGACTGACTAAAGCAAAATGTTCTGGCCCTAGAGAAATAGCAGTCATCCAATGTCTACCATTCAATTTCCCACTACTGTAGTGCTTCTGCAGTATAGGGAAGAAGAGGGGCACAGTGGTGCAGCTTATTGGTAATAGTGCAACTCATTGGTAATAATGCAAGTAGGGATGGTTGGAACAAAAGATTTGGCTGCAAATTTTTTAAAAAATATTGTACCCTGTGTGACTATTGTATAATTCTAATATTGTTTGGGAACTGACAAAATGTTAAAAATATGGAAAGCAAAACACGGAATTCCAAGGTTTTTTCCTCTTAAGTTTTAATTTTATAAACCTTTATTATGATTATATCCCATATTTATTATGACATACGTAAACTAACTTAGGTATGTCCAACCTGTGGGCCATATGTGGCTCTGGACAGCTGGTAATGTGGCTCCATAATTAAAAAAAATAAAGGAAGTTTGTTGTTTATATACAGTAACTATACTATATATTTTGTATGCAGCCCAAGATAATTCTTAATCCCTCAGTGCGGCCCAGGCAAGTCAAAAGATTGGATAATTTCTTCATATGATGCTATGTCTTATCATACCATCCTGTTGTGTATTTTATTATAATTCTTTGTAGAAATAATCCAATTCTGTTTTCAAAATGGAAACCTGCTACTATCCTGTGGTGGTGTTTATAATTAATTTAAGTTTTCCAGAAGAACAAATAAATTATCTTACAGATTCAACTTATTTTCAAATAATGGCATCAAATATGTATGGAAAACTGAATAACTGACTCAGGAACAGACTGAGAGGCATTTAATATGCCTCTTTAAATCATACAGAGTTACATTGCAGAATGCACTCTGCAGTGTAACTTTATATGATCTAATTTGTCTGAAGAAAATAAGAATTAAAAAAAAACCATTAAGTTTCTTGCCAGTTTCTCTGACAGTGCATTTGACTTCTATACAGCATCTGGATTTACAATTGAAAGAACTCAAAGTAATTTTAAAATTTTTTCAAAGGAACGTTAAGATAGGAAATGCTGTATTTAAAGACTATTCAGCAAATAAAAAGAAGAGATTGATTACAAAGCTGCTTGCATTCTTCTTCTTAGATAAGCTGTGGGAGGCTATTAGAACACATTCAACTCTTACCTATTGTAGAATTCAGTAAAATTGATGATGCACAATGAGGTTGAAACATCAGAGTTGGTTCTTTTTCTCTATTAACAATTTTGGTTGAAGTAGATGTGATAATGGGTAAAGTGCTTATCCATCTAAGCCTTTGTAAGGATCTTCCCCCTCCATACTGATTAATATGTATGTTTGTTTATAGCATATGGTATTAAAGCTGTTTTGAGAAGTCCATGGTGAGGGTTACAGTGATTAAGTGATTATATGAACAACTTCTTTGAGAGCTAAAATTGCAGGAACAATGGAAAATTATTTATAGTATTTGTAAATTTAACATAAAGGTAAAACATCCTAAACTCAAACTCAGCTAATATTGATAACATGGATATCACAATGAAGGGTAGTTTTTTTGCGTACAATGTGGAAGAAGTTTACCATATTCTTTGTTTTTTTTTCCAGTTGAGCCTACAGCTCTGTGATTTCCTTGTGGTGTTCAATTAAAGTAATAACCAGTTTCTTTCGTTTCTTTCAAGGTCAGCCAAGCTTGCTAGGAAGCCAGAAGGGGAAAAAGTGAAAAAAAAAAAAGACATGCAAATCCTCCCTAAAAAAAACTAATTTAAACTTAAGAGCACTATAAAAATCAGAGTGTGAAAAGTTTTGTATACACCATAAGGTCTTATCTGGAACTGAGAACTTTTGTCTTTCACTGGATCTTTGAAGGATATTTCCCACCACTAAAAGAGCAGTTTAAGACCATAATAAGAATAATCCTGGATCAGACCAAATACTGTTCAATAAAACTCTCTTCCTTCAATGAATAACCTTCAGGAAATTCATATGCTGGGTGTGAGAAGAATATCTTCCACTTTCTTGTAGTACTGAAATCTCTAGTCCTCTTGATACATAATCTCTGTGTGTGGTGGGAATGGTGTAGTCATTCTCACTAAATATGTTCAGCTTGTAACTATCACTGCCTAACAGCTCTTGAATTCATTATGGGAAATGTAAGTGGATGTTTCCCTTTCAGATAAGCCCATATGTTCACCATCTGCAATGCAATGTAAACATTTTTATTCATCATTTTATGTATAAAATTTCTACATTGCTTTTTCTTTATTCAAAATTTCAAAGCAGAGGTTTCTTGACCAGCTTGAATGAGTATATATAAATACTGAAATAATTATATCTATCAGAGGTTACCTTGAAAGCTTTGCTATAAATGAAACTGACCTGAAAAGAAAATATATAGATGATAATTGTGTTGCACTGTATATTTCATATGGAAATATATTGGAAACCACTTGATTTTTTTTTTGATGACAAGTAGTATAGTAATGCTGTAAATAAATAAGAAAGAAATGCTTACTCCGTGGGCACAATCATATCTGCTTCAGCATTTCTATTTTTTTTTAAATTAAAAATAGTAGATCAAATCCGGTGATACTGGGCAACTGAGTTTTATTTTTAAAAGTTTTTATTTGTATGCAGCCAATGTAGTGTCAGAGAATGTGTCATCTGGCAAAGCATGGTCTTACACTGAAGAAGTTATCTGTGGAGCATATTATTAGCATCTGAGCTAAAGAGTAACTTTAATTTTGTTTTCTTCTTTTTACTTCATTAACTTTTCTTCCCCTTACATTCTTAATTCGTTGATAGAGAAGTTTCTTTTAGTTGCTATATATTGTTCTTAAGAGCTAGCACTTAATGAATGTAAAGGTGTTTTCTTATTCTTTTATCGTCATTCAATGGATTTTTAAAATGTCTATTTTAAGCCAACTTTAGCGAGCAAGAATCTTGAATATATCATATACCCCCTCTTAAAGAGTATATCTCAATAAAGTGTTGGTTTAAGGGCCGTACAATTTGCTATTTTACAAACTACTAGATTATATACTATATGCTATATGTAAACAGAGAAACCCACCCTGTTACAACATTGCATCATAATATTATGCTATTACTTCATTCCAAGGGACATGGTAGCTCAACAGTTAAGGACGCTGAGTTGTCAGCTGAAAAGCTGATAGCTTGGGGTTCAAGACCAGAGTGCTGTGCAACGGGTGAGCTCCTGTTACTTGCCCCAGCTCTTGCCTACCTAGCAGTTCAAAAGCATGCAAATGCGAGTAGATAAATTGATACCATGTTGGTGGAAAGATAATAGTGTTCTATGGTCTCAGTGTATAGTCATGCTGGCTACATGACCATGGAAATATTTTCAGACAACATTGGTAGAAATATATTCTAAGCATTTTTAATATATGTCTTTATAATTGTAGCAGCACTGTTCAAGTGGGACAATCCTATTTTTTAAAGCAAAAGATGTATTAATTTTTAAATGTTTAGGATTTAGAAATTAATGAAAATCTATTTAATCATGTAGGTATCACAGTAGTTCAGCCTTCCCACTTAGGTGGCTTTTAGATGTGATTTTTTTCCTGGCAGATTGCTGAATGAGAAATGCTGTAGTGTAATCCAAAAGTTTTGAAGGACAGTAGGCTAAGAAAGAGTATATATAGTAATAAGAATGTAGATCTATGAGCTGCTCAAAGATTCAGATGTTTAAGAAATAAATGAATTAGAAACCAATAGGAGGAATAAAATATTTAGATTAGTTTTTTGTAGCCCAACTCAACAGAAAATAGGAGAAAGGAGTATTGAGTGTGTCCTTCACTTTGAAGTAAAAATAATAAAGGGGAGAATAAAATGTATTATTCATCTTTGTTCCAAATGCAACACCCTTGTTTAACAATATATGGGAAAACAATCCACTCATGACTTTTTCTCTCTCTTATATTTACAGGATAAATTGACCCAGGAGTGTGTGTTCAGAGAGCAATTTGAAGAGAACTGGTATAATACATACTCATCAAACCTATATAAGCATGTGGACACTGGAAGACGATATTATGTCGCGTTAAATAGAGATGGAACTCCCAGAGAAGGGACCAGGACTAAACGGCATCAGAAATTCACACATTTTTTACCTAGGCCAGTGGACCCTGAGAAAGTCCCTGAACTATATAAGGATATTTTAAGCCAAAGTTGACAAAGACATTTCCTTCACTTGAGCCCTTAAAAACCAACAACCACTATAAAGGTTTCATGCGGTGGGTTCTTAATTGATTAGCTGTGTCATCACATCAGCTCCACTATTGCCAAACTATGTCGCATGCATAATATATGATGGAGGCTTGGATGAAACTTGCTGATGGTGTTCCGCACTTAAAAGGTTTGTCTTCTGGAAGAGAGCCTATGCCCATTGCTTGATTTATTGAGTGAGAAAGAAAGAGTGAGGATGTTTGAGAGTGAAAGCAGAAGCTGAAGAACGAAGGAAGGGGGGAAAGGCCTGATGCATGCTGGGAAATAGACACGCTTTAAAAAAATTTTGGTCTGTTGTATACTTCATCCTAGATCAGCATAGCTGCCATACTTTGACTCATGAAGAATTTTGGCTGGTGGCCTGCTCAAGTGTACGCTGCATTTTTTTTAAAGCAAAGGCATGGAGGGTATGGTCTGTCTAAAATCCACATAGGAAAAAAGAGACTTATTTTCAGTTTGACTGCTTCCTTAATGAATTTTAAGTAAAGACCTCTTAGTAATACAGGATTTTTTTTTTAAAAAAAGTTAAATTTATTTATAGAAATCCAAAGGCAACATTTTATTTATTTTATATATTTATTTATTACATAGAGTTTATTTTTAATGACAAGTGTACAGGCCAGATAGGCAGATTGAAAGTTATAAGCTCTAAAAAACATTTCAACAGCAAAGGCCGCTACGACCGTGTGATTAAATTCATACAAGTCAAACATAAAGATGCATGGAGGCAAGGAGGAATCTAGGGATCCTAATGTATTAAAGGCGACAATATTTTTTGTGCCCATATTATTGTAAAATTATGCACACCACTCATAACTCTTGAGTGCTCACTCTTCTGACTGCTTGTTTCATAGCTTAAAATCTCCCCCTTTCCTCTCCCTCTCTTACTGAGGATTAAAGATAAAACTGGGTCTTCAAAACTTTAATTCTGTGTCTGTAGTATTTCCTCTTTGATAAGCAACTTATCAAACTTAAAATCTACAAACTTCCCATTGTGGAATAAAAAACGCAAAGAAATAAAAAGAAGGGTTGGTATATGATACATTTTACTTGTTAAACCTACTGCATATAATACCAAAATTACATCATAAATATGTATGGTTTTTTTTTACTTAAGCAGAATATCAGAAATATTCTAATGCCTATTAGGATATTTTTATACCAATTAAGGTTGCCTCACACAAGTAGTAACAAAGACCAGAGACAAGGCTTTCACTCTTGTAAACTTGTTTAATTGTGCACTTGATTATCTACTCTGAAATTACACAAGTTCCATGTGGGGTTATTATCTTTCATGGGAAAAATGCTTTCATTGTGGTCTATTATAATACATAGAGGACTCTTGCAGATGACAAGAGTACATTTCTATTGAGAATTACAATGTGGGTGAAAGTACTATACTTAAATTATGTTTCAAATGTTCTTAAAGCATATTGTGCTGGCTGCACTGCATAATGTGTATCAGTGAGGATTGTGTAACATAATGAGTGCAAGCATACCTTTTGTTAGTAGCTATAATTTGGGCTTACCCATAGAGGAGAGGCTTTGTCATAAAGCCCTAAGATCAACAGAGGCCACAGAAACCTTGACAATGACTGCAGTTCATGCACTTACATGTACATACCATTTCAATAAAAGTTGGCAGAGGAAATGTAGAGAGTTTAGACTACAGTAATACAGTCAGCTCAACATGGCTCTGGTTATAGCCTGGATTCTATGTAAAATGGAGTGCTCCATTGTTCTCTGTAGCAGGATTTGCACATAACACTATGCCATACAATAAAGATTAGTAACTAACATTCACGATGTATAAGATGCAGAGCGGCCCAATAAAGAAAATGTGTCTTATTTGGGGGCAGCAAACCTCAGTCTGAAATTAATGTTGTTGCTGAGTTACAAGACCTGGCTTGTGTTCATTATATTTTGTCATATACCAAAATCCTGCCTTTTTTGGTTTGTTTTGGTCTTTTCTTTTTGCAATTAGAAAAAAAAATATATTTTTCACCTGCAAAATTGATGTTTAATAAAACATGGGTAAAAATTCTGGATTGGAATTAGATGCAGAAGTAGTTCACATTAGAAATATATGCTTTGCATTATAGCCAAGCCTAAAGGAATTGTAGGAGAATACTAGCATATGCACTGATTATGCTGCAATGCAAAAATAATTTGCTAGAAAGAGTTGCTCATTGTGAACTCAAAATTCATCTCAACCTCTGCTAAAACAGGACAGTTCTACTGGAAGCTACTAGGAGCCCTTGTGGTGCAATGGTTTGAATGCAATATTGCAGGCTAACTCTGCCCACAGTCTGGAGTTCAATCCTGCTGGGGCTCAAGGTTGACTCAGCCTTCCATCCTTCTGAGGTTGGTAAAATGAGCACCCAGATTGTTGGAGGAAATATGCTGACATTGTAAACTGCTCAGAGATTGCGGTAAAGCACTGTGAAGCGGTATATAAGTCTAAGTGCTATTTCTATTGCTATTGAAGCAACCCCAGAACCATATATTTATACCCTGATTTTCCACAAGAAGGTCTTCTCAAACAACAAGCCATTTCAGGTCTGAAGTAGCAGGCAGTTAGGAATAAATCTTGATGTATGTGCTTGCGAATATACTGAAAAAATGGTTAATATGTTCAAGATGAATTAAACATTTTTTAAATGGTTGTCCTTTGGAAAGAAAGATGACAAGAAAATGCAGTGAATTCATAAGATCAGCTTTAGGTCAGAACAATTTCTTATATTCTACTTGTTCTCCTGAAGTATTAAGCCATCTCTACTCTTGAAGCCAGTGAGTTAAACATTTTCTTGCCATTTCTAAAATAATCAGTGGTTCAAGACTAGTTTTGAAAACACGACATACATACAATGAAAGATGGAAAACAAATATGGGACTACTATTTTAGGAATAAGCCTGTGTCAAATCTATCCATAGTGTTAGCTAATCTACAAAACCTAGTCTTGGGTAATTTCTAGATGTGATAAGATGCAGCTATTCATGATTATAGTTTGTTGGAGAGCTGTCCCATATAACTATCAGCTGTATTGGTGTGAATGCCATAAGCAGCATCCAAAAGGGGGAAGGACATCAAAAAAGTCAAGATGAGGTCATGACAGCACAGTAGAAACTCTAGCCCTTTGTGTATATTTGTGAATTTGCATGTGTCTCTTGTAATGCCTTCATGCCATCTTGCCTTTTTTTTAAAACAACCTCCACCTTTTCTCAAGACATTGGTGAATGTCATAATATGTACATTATTCATTGCTGGTTTACCACAAAAAATGCTCATTTTACTAAGATCAACGAGAGCTCTCCATGACATTAAAATGAAAAAGGTATTACCAATCTATTTTTCTCAATTTAGTTCTGAATTGTTAAGAAAATTAGACTAGGATCAATCCTTTCAAATCGACACCTAGATTGATCCCAAGAAACTCCAAACATATAATTACAGAACAATTAAACCTGTAAACCATATAAATATATTTCGAGTGGTATCTTGAATACTGAACTGAGAATCAACCCTTTGAAATCCAGCATGACTTCTTTAATAACTATGACCAGGATTGAACTGTTAATTTTTGCTCAGAGCCAATTATTTAAGAAGTTAGTCTATTTTGTAATAACCTTTTTATCACCACTTGTCTGTTATCTTTTTTTAACCTTTGCTTCACATTGAAATAATGAATCAGTTGCATCTTTATCTATAAAATAGGCACATGCAATACAGTATTAAGTAACAAGATCAATGCTCACTGAAAGCACATGAGCAATCCATCTACAGCTTTATAAAATTGCCTGCCAGAGACTGCAGACATAGGTGGCATGTCAAGCACCTGATAAGCCTTAATGCCGGTCTGTATTCAACTTGATGGTTCACAAGTTGCACAGACCTCTTGTTTTAATGGTCAAACCACTTTCACTGGAAAAATGATAAAAGAGTTTTTAAGATGATTTTAAATATAAATTACTTTTCAACTGTATCCTTAAAATTTGGACGATAAATTGATCATCTTACGAGGAAGTCGGATAAAGGACAGCATGTTCAACATCTAGTAGTAGAAAGATGTACACATGTATATCTATATGGATAAAAGTATGTATATGTATATCTATCTATATGTATGATAGATATAGGTATGTGTGTATGTATGCATGTCTACCTATGTAGTTGCATAAAGATGGATTCAAGGAGCAATAAGCATCCAGATTTGCACTATGTCCACAAAAATATTAAGGACACCCATAAGCAAAGTCAGTTTTGCCACAACTGACCAGAATAAATAAGACCATATTTTTAGCCTTAATGTGGAATTTGCTGGGGGAGGGGGAGGGGTTGATCACAGACAGATCATTAATATTACTTAATGTGTTTTAATTTATTTTTTTGTATTTTTTAAAGAAAGGACTAAAAATAAGCAAGAAAAAAATGTTATGACTTTGTGGCAGTTGATACAATAAACTATAACCAATATATTCAAATAACCCATAGTGTTGTGTTGGATATTTGAATATTTAGAGATACGGAATTATCATAGATATTTTCTTGGACAAACAATTTCCATTCAACAAAACACTGTTTTCTACCTATCTTATCCTTTTATTCCTCTAAGCAAGATGCAATAATTCCAGAATTAGGATCAATTTTATCTTCTTCGCCATAAGGCATCAGCAATTAAATCTCAAGGGTTGCACCCTTTACTGACCCTTGTTGTATAGACATTTGTTTTTATATCAATTGTGTGGCCTTACAGATAATGGTTTATTCCAAACAGGTCTTCATAGACAAGGCTACATCTAACACTTGCATTTGGAAAAGGCAAAGAAAGTGCCTTCTATTAGAGAGGGTTTTCCAAGTATGGCAGGAAAAAAATAAAGATGGTAGATGTGATTTTTGGGGGTCTAAAGTTAGTGTTGACTCCATTTAACTGCCCGTTGAGCTCCAAAAACAAAGATATGGAGTTTTTTCTAAGCAGTTTCCTTTATGGTTCTTTGCCTATAGACAACTTCTGCCATTAACACATACTCGGAGAACGACTAGGGAAGAGTGGCTTTAAGTCTTTTCATCTTTTGCTCCTCCGGAATGCTCTCCTTCCCTCTTGAAAATCTGGACTACATTCCATCACAACTGCTTGGAGTAGCCTCAGACAATTTCTTGGCTACATTTCAGAAGTGGTTGGAAATGAGTGATGGGTCCAAGGTCATCCTACTGTCTTTGTGCTTAAGGCAGAAGTAGAACTCACGGTCTCCTGTCCCAAAGGTGCTTTTTCAAAGGGTAACTGGACTTGTAGACATTTAGCTTCTCATCCAATAAGCTTCTTCTGTTCTGACCAAATGGTGGGGAATGGAAGGATTTATATTCCTTGCAGTCAGGCTTTTGTAAAAGCAGCATTGGGACAACCTCTATGACAGAATCTCCATAGCCAGCAGTCTCCTGGTTTCTAGCCAGGGATATATTGTGTATAAAGAGCAAACTTTAATCACACCATCACAGTCAGTAT